GGTTCGGTTTCGGTTTTTAAAAAACCAATTTGAAAATTTTCGGTTTGGTTTCGGTTTGGTTTCGGTTTTTAAATTATTATTGAACACAAAAAAAAAATTTTTTTTTCCGATAATAAATAAAATATATATATTAATATATTAATACAGGTCACTCCCGTTATAAGGACAGACAAAAAATGTCCGTATAACGAGATTGTTCTTATAACGGGAGTTCATATAAAATCACATGACTTGAAAAATGATTATAAAATTTTTTTAGAAATTATTAATTATTTTAAAATCAACAATTTAGCAAAAGTTTATAATCATAATACTGTAATAATAAAATCTTTTTAACATTTTAATTGACATTTAAAAAATTTATCAAGAGCAAAGGTCCTGTATAATTTTTATTGGATTCATAAATTTTATTAGTCAATTTGCATATAAGAGTCCAAACTTGTTTGTTTGGATTCTTTAAATTTTTGACTGATTAATTGTTTTTTTAATTTTTATAGACCATCTAAAATAAATTCTTCCACTATAAACCCTTCTCCTTGTTGTATGTAAATAAGAAGATTCTCACAATTTTTCAATGCATCTTTGGTTTTAATATGAATGACTTCCTCTTCCTCTTCCTCCTCCTCTTCTTCATTTAAAACAACCACAGCAATTTCCTCTAATTCAGGCATTGCTTCAGTTTCATTATTACTTTCATAATTAACATAATCTCCAGTTGTCAGTGGCTCATTATAATGTTTATTCATTAAATCTTGTAATTCTGATGCAACACTATCTTCACTATCCTCATAGTCATCTAAATCATCTTCTGGTAAAATACCAACTTTTTTCCAAGAGCGAATAATTGTTTCACTTTTAACATTCTCCCAAGCTTTTGACACAAATTTAATTGCATTATAAATGGTAAGCTTTGAAATAGATTCTTTATTTTCTGTCATATTATAAAGATCATACATCTCAACACGATTTTCACAAAGAAGCTTTCTATAATAGCACTTAAATGACCAAATTATTCCAGCATCAAGAGGCTGTGGGTGAGCTGTGGTGTTAGCAGGAAAAAAATGAAGCTTAACATTTGATAAATCCAGAACTCCTACATGTGATGAGGCATTGTCAAGTAACATGATAATTTTTTTATTTTCCTTTTCATTTGTTCATTGACTTTTTTGATCCAATTTTGAAAAATTGAAGCCTGCATCCAGGCCTTTTTATTCCAGTAATAATATACTGAAAGTTTGGTTTTATCAATCCCTTTAAGAGCACGAGGATTTTCATACTTATGAATTAACAATGGTTTAAGTTTTTCACCTTTAGAATTACAAGACAACATGACAGAAACTCTTTCTTTAGATTGCTTTGTACCAAAGGTTTCACCATGAGCTAAAGTCCTTGATGGTTCAAGTTGCCAGAAAAGTGCAGTCTCATCACAATTGTAAATATCACTAGGATCATAATTTTCAAGAATTTCTTGAAGTTCTTCACGATATTGTGGTAATAACTCAATTGGAGCAGATGCTGATTCACCTCGTTTAATTACTGAATAAATATGATATCGATTTTTAAAACAAGAGAGCCATCCATCACTACCTTTAAAATCACTTATGTTCATAATTTCAGCTAGTGCATGAGCTTTTGTTTTAAGAATATCTCCTGAAATTGTAAGATTATGCACTACAGCTTGATCAAACCAAAGTGCTATAGCCTCTTCTAACCGTGGCCAATTTGCCAGCCTATTCTTTTTAAATTGTGAAGTTGTAAGAGTTTCATCAATGGAGAGCCATTTATCTGATTCTGATAAAATTCCTGAAACTGTGCTTCGGCCAATTTTAAATTCTTGAGCTAAATCATCTTGGGACAAACTGTGATCATCTTTAGCATGTTTACATAATTCTTTTTTTTGTGAAGCACTTAAAGAATTTCCTTTTCTGGATGAAGATGCAGAGGTTGAACTCATTTTTAAGGTAATTTAGTTAAGATAAATCATTAACGATTAAAGGTTTAGAAAAAATGGTTTTAAAAAATTTGCAAAATTTTTAGTACGAAGTATTGGATAATTCATAATTCTTTTATAGTCTTGTTTGAAAACGTCATCAAAAAAAAAAAACAATTGTGAATAAATTTCTTTATTGTCAAAAATGCAAAATATTTCATCACTATAAATATTTCATCATCAAAAAACAATAAGAGATCAATCAAAAACGTAAAGATACTTTGTTACAATTCACATTCTTGAAAATAATAGATACTTTGTCACCACCAAAACAATTTGCGAATTTGATTATTGTTAATTTTAGTGTTAATAATAATAAACTTGATGTAAGTAATTTGTGTTTAACGTGTTTAGTATTAGTAATGTTAAAACATTAAAAATGTAAATAATTAGTCATCTAATTTTGTCATAGTGATTTGAGTAATTTGATTGGTTCTCTCATTGTACTGACATGTCCTTATAACGGATGTCACTATAACGGGATAAATTTTATAATTATTAAAAAATTTTTTGTCCAATTATGTCCTTATAGTCTTATAACGGGATACATAATGAATGTCATTATAACGGGAGTAAATTTATATTTATAAAATGTGTTTTTGAAAAAATGTCACTATAACGAGATTGTCACTATAACGAGCTGTCCTTATAACGGGAGTGACCTGTATATATATTATACATGTCAAAATTAAAAATTGTAATTGGTGTTGTGCATGACGCAAATAAGTGATGCAAAGCGCAAGGCACAATTCATGACGCAATTTCTCAACACGTTGTTGAATGGTATAGTAGAGGTTGGAATTTTCCGAAAAATCCTTAGTCGACTACTAGTTGGTCAAAAATTTCTTTAGTCAACTAATTAGTCGACTAAATTTTTTTTATATAATAATACAGTCAAACCTTGATAAACTGAACTACCATAAACCGATTTTCACTTTATAATGATGCAAAATTGGCTAACCAAATCATATTTAATAAAAATTATTTTCGTTTAAGCCAAATTTTATTATAATTTCTACTTTACTTGATAATGGTTTGTACAAAATAATAAAAATATAACTTTCTAAGCCAAATATGGGTTTTAAAAATTCATATAATGATGAAATTCAGTTTAAAAATGGTCGATCACCCAACAATCAAGTTTAGTCAAATTTAGTCAAGATGATTATTATTAAATTAGGCTTTTAACCCTTTACACTGCCAGCCCTGTTTGTATCATAAACCGAATTTTGTCCTTTCAGCTCAAATTGTAAAGCTTCCAAGATCAAATTTATTCTAGAAGAAATATCAACACTGGAACATGTAAAAAAAAGAAGGCTAGATTTGTATAAACATTGGAATTGTATTCTCTGCAACAATGAAAAAGAAGATTTCAATCATGTCCTCAAAACAAACAGAAAAGTACAACAAATCTGTCATGAAACAAAGGAAGAGCTATACAACCAAATCAAGAATAACAAGAAAAACAATAATAATAGCAACCTGAACAATCTCACATTTATTGACATACTCAAGGATATTGTTCCTTCTTTTATTACCAACATTAATTAAATTCAAATATTAAAATTATCTATAAAATCCCAAATGATCTAATTATTTTTCTGCTCATCCTGTTTTGTTTGTGTTGCTTATAATTAAATAGCTATATCGTTGAATAATAGAGATACACTCAGTGGACAAAAGTTTGTGTCCAAAATTTCTTTTGATTTTATTTTAAAATTACACTAATTAAAATATTGTAATCTTTATATCATTCGAAAACTCTTGTTCTTAATAATATGTTTGTGATATTAAATTTTGAAGACCTGATTATCATGTTATATATATGCTTATTTAAATCCCTTGTTATTATGTAGTAGTATTATATATGTTATTATTATAGTCAGTGTTGTGCAATTTCATTGTATGAACGTATGATGATTTTCCGTGGTGATAAAATATTATTTTATAATAATGTTATGCTGTCAGCCCTATTACTATTACGATTACTATAATTAAAGGTCGTAACAGATCGTAATACTATTTCGTTATCAGAGAAACCTTGATTATCATATTATACTTACATTATCCTGGGTGCATTATTGTTAGTAGTATTAGTAGTATTATTATTACCGTGATTCCTAAATTTTTTTTTCTATTTATTTAGAATGAAATAAAAAAATCATCTTTACATTCTTGTTAATTATATTATCAATTCAAAATAATTAATAGTAGTATTCAATCATATACAGTATGTAGTTAATTCCACAATATAGTCAAACCTTGCCACAGCGGATGAACGGTACACATAATAATATAATAATAATTAAATTCGCGTTTCAACGGATTATATAATAATGATAATAATTAATTCGTGTTTCAACAGATTATAATAATAATTAAATTTTCTTATGTGTCCAGTCACTTACTCTGTTTGCAATTTCGTTAGAAATGGATTATGATGATCTAAGCAAAGGTGTTTCCTTAAGGCACAGAGAACCTGAAAGGAAAAGAGTAGCAGAAAAATATGGCACAACAAAGCCAAGATATGCCAAAAGATCGACTAAAGGTGCTGGTGTGAAAGACTGTCGCCCACCAGATACAACTAAAGCTCAGTTAAAAAAATCCCAAAAGAAAATGATTGATGAATCTGAATCGGAAAAAGAAATAATCTCCCAAAAATATCAATCATGCCCTCACAATAGATATTAATGTTATATTACAATTTTATTAGAGTTGCTGTATAACAATTTTCCAAAGACAAAGAATGGTGGGCCACAAATGTTGGAATTATTAATGAAGATAATTCAGGAATTAAAAAACTATATATCAGCTTCACAATTCATAATCAACCAAAAGCTACAAAAAAAACCCCCTTTCTGAGGCAAGAGCATTGATCCGCCATTATGTTATAGATGAAGGATGGGATGATTACGAATTTGGATCATTGACTTTATGGTTTTATAATGTGATTTTGGAGAAGAGAAGATCATTGAATATAATTTCACATGTTTGTGTACTTGGGCTAAGGATGTGGAAGTGTGATGAAGGACATATTCGTATTTCACCAGCACCCATCAATCCATTTTTTCCAGTTAATGGAACAAGAGATTTTGATGGTCCATATTTTACAGTAAACACTAATTTAGTAGGTGAAATGTCAGCATTTTTTACAATGAAAAATAAGTTGATAAATTGTGTTCATCCTGATGAACCTTGTCAACATTATTGGGCTAATATGAGTTTATGTGACAAAAGGAAACACCAATATGAAGAGCTTATTATATCATGGCTAACTTTGTTAATATTTGAGGTCACTGGAGATGTGGATAGTTATAATTCATCTGAGCATTTAAATTTTCCTTTGAACCTCAATTATAACAATGATGGAATAGGTTCAATTAGATATAATTTAACAGCAAGGGCATTTAGTACAACATCAAGTGGAACTCACTTTTATGCTAAAATAATTCACAACAATGTTGTTTATAGATATTATGACTTAAAAAGTCAAGGAGTTGTGTCAATTGAATCAAAAGATCCAAATTCACTTTCTGGGAAACATTCTAATTCTGTCTTGGTTGCTTATGATTTATGTGAAGAAGAGGCATCTACTAGGTTTTCTAATAATTGCATAGGTTAGTGTCAATTAATATTAAATTAAATAATATGAAATTTTTTTTTAATAATTCTATAATTTTTTGCAGAAATCTTTTTAGAAAAATTGTCAAATTTTGAAATTGAAATTCCCAAAGAAAAATCTACATCAGCAATTTATTGTGAGTATTCATATGTATATACAACCTTTTTTTATTTTAACTTATTAGCTGTACTGAAAAGTTTTATATTTTGCATTTTTATGTTTTTTTTTTTTATAAGATTTATTAATTTAATTTTATTATAGTGCAAAAGTTATTGAAAATAAAGAAAGAATTGTTCGTCGTAGCAAAAGAATCAAAACTGAGAACAAATCATAAGATTATCCCTTAAAGGAAAATCATGTATTTTTCCGCAAAAATATATCCAATTTTATTGGTGGGTTGGGTGTGTGTTATCCTTATTTAGAAATTGATTTGGCGATTGCGGATATTTTTGCAGAAAAATACATGATTATCCTTAAAGGTCAAAGTATTCTTTAGTAGTATAGTGCCAGTCACAAGTACACATCCAATAAAAATTGCCTTTCTAAGAAATGATATTCAGCAAAATAGAAAAAACATTTTGAAAAA